TAGCTGTAAGTCTAGGAGAGCGGCTTTGCTGTTATATAGGAGGGATCCCTCGGCCGTCCATCTGGACTTTTACAAGACAGCCGCTAGTACGTGTTCCAAGGTTCTCAAAAAGGCTAAGAGAGAGGGATGGAAGGAGCTGTGTTCTTCATTTAATGGCAAAACTCCCTCGGCGGACATGTGGAAATTTATCAAGAGTTACAAAAACAGGAGGCTCAGAAATGATCTCTCTTCTGACTCCTGCGACGTGCACTCAGAGGACATCATTAGAACGGCGCAAGATAAATTAAGCCTTGCGTCTTGCGAACAACTTATAAATGTCGAAGAGCATTTCGCCAAAGGAAGACAGGACGCGTCCCGTCCCCTAGCTTTTCACCTAGGGGAACCTATTACGCCCAAAGAACTTGCTTGGGCTCTTAACTCGCTTAAAATAAGGAAATCGGCGCCCGGTCTGGACCAGATCGCCTTCAATATCCTCTCTGCTCTTCCTGATTTCCTTCTCTCGAACCTGCTAGAAAATTTTAATTACTTCCTTGGGCAAGGCACATCTCCGGCAGAATGGAAGCAATCCTTGATCATCCTCATTCCCAAACCCCACAGCGCGGGGCTTAGACCAATCTCGCTCATGTCTTGTATCCTAAAAGTCGTAGAAAAGTGCATATACCTTAGACTTACCTGGCACGTGGAGAGATTTTCCCTCCTGCCGGAGGCACAGCATGGGTTCAGACAGGGCAGATCATGTGGAGACAGCCTTACGGCCTTTTCGACTTCAATTAGAGGCGCCTTGGTAGGGGACTGTCAGCCTTCCGCATTATTCTTGGATATTTCCGCAGCCTTTGATAATGTTATCCCTTCCATTCTAATCGAATCACTCGCCAATATTGGGGTCCCTCTGAATTTATGTAAATTTATTTACAGTTACCTGGGTGCAAGAGAAATCTTCTTTCTTCATGAAGGCCAGATTTGCGGACCTAGATGGACTTACAAGGGCACTCCCCAAGGATCCATCCTTAGCCCCCTGCTCTTTAATATTTACTTGAGGGATATCTCTAATCATATACCATACCCGGTAAGATGTTTGCAATATGCGGACGACATCGTTATCTGGGCCTCGGATCGTGAGCGTCAGCGCAACATCCTTGATCTTTCCTCTGCAGTGGAAAGGATCGAACGATTTTTGCTTGACAAGGGACTGGAAATTTCAATGAGCAAATCAAGGTCCGTCAATTTTTGCAAGAGCGGGCGCTCCGCTGACGAAACCAGCCGTATTAGCTTGAGGCAGTGCTGCCAGATTCCCCCTCCACGGGCTAGGCCGCGCATGTGCCATGGATGGTATATCAGTTACGTATATTATGGGCGCACAGTTTTGGCGGGCTTCGTGTAAACAAGCAGGGCAACGGTCACCAAGAGTGCAATATGAGAAGACAGGTAAGTAGATAAA